ACTTGTGATAGGGGTCTGGCCCTTCCACTTAGGAGAGGGGTCTGGGCCCTGTCACTCAGGGGAGGGGTCTGGGCCTGACACTCAGGGGTGGGGTCTGGGCCCTGTCACTCAGGAGAGGGGTCTGAGCCCTGTCACTCAGGAGAGGGGTCTGGGCCCTGTCACTCAGGGGAGAGGGGTCTGGGCCTGTCACTCAGGGGTGGGGTCTGGGTCCTGTCACTCAGGTCAACCTGGCTCCAGCACTGGACAGATGAACACAGATCAGGCTGTGATGCAGATGGAGAGAGCATTCTGGAACATTCTAGGAGGGCACTGCAGGAGGGGGCCGGGACTGCCCCTACAGGGCTCCTGTGGTCTCAAAGTTCACGACCTCAGCTGGGACCTGGACTTGTAGTCCCGGGTTCCGACCGTGACCGTGCCTGTCCCCGCCTGTGGAGGAGTGGGGTTGCCGTGCTCGCCTGTACAAGGCGGCTTGGAGCACACACAGGTGCCCACACACGCCGGCCACCCTGGACACAAGGCGGCCGTGAGAACAGGGCACCCGGCTCTCTCCAGAGCTCTCCTTGAGAGCAAGCCCCTGCCCTCTTCCCATCAGAAGGGAAAGGACGCCGGCGGTGGACAGCAAAGGCTGCACCGGCCCTCCGGGTGCCCATCCTGGCAGAGCCCTTCCTGTTGCCATGGCGACAGGCTCTGCCTTCCCCTGGTGCCCTCCCCCACCCCACGCAGCCTGCTCCCGAGCCTGCAGGAGCCTGGCAGCCTTGTGCTCCCCCTCCAGCCAGGACCCAGCCTTCTCTCCCACCCCCAGCCCCTGGGGAGCCGGGCCAGGAGCCCACCACAGCCCAGGGACGCCCTGAGCTCTCCAGGAGGGACTCACCACGTGTCCCCACGCCAGGGCCTGGGGCCGCATCTCCTTCACTCCTGTGCCCCATGAGCTCCAGCATTAATGAAAGAGGGGCTTGCCCAGGACGCTGGGACCCCCTGGAGGCCCCGGGGACCTGGCGACCGAGCCAGAGCTGAAATGCTGGGTGCCGCCCGTGGCGCCCCCGTGTCAGTCTCTGTCCTCACCAGAGGCTTTCAGGACCCAGGCTTTGGGACCCTCCCCAGGTCCCAAAGCCCTGCGGGGTCTGGATGTGCTCCCCGGGGCCGGGGGCCGGTTCTGTGTGGTCAGAACGCAGCGGCTCTGCTCAGCAGGCTGGGTGCAGTGGGGGCCCCACTGTGGGTACCTGGGCCACCCCTGGAAGCTGCCGTCCCCAAGAAAGTGGACCAGGGCCGTGGGCTCAGCACGCTTGTCTTCAGACGGCGAGAACCAGGACAGAGTCCCCCCACGGTGGCCTTGAACAGCCATCACGGCTCCCAGTGCTGGGGGGCGGGCACAGAAGGATCCCGCGTACCGGGCGCTGCCCTGGGCCCTTCACACGTGAACTAGGACTTCAACCCCAGAGATGACCCCGTGAGTCAGGCGAGGGGCCCGAGACCCACAGCTGCTCGCGGCTCTCCCTCCCTCATTATCCGCCAGCGTGGCTTCCACACACGTGACCAGGAGTGTTCGTTTTTAAACATATTTCCTCACATACTTGGTTCTGAATACAATCACTGCAGGGCACGCGCTTGCAAATCACGCGCGTGGCACAGCGGCGGCAGCACCGGCGCCGCCCCCCGCTGCTCTGCGGAACCGCGTGCCACTCCGGGACGCCTTCACCTGCCATTGCCCCATGGCGCTTTCAAATGAGGGCTTCGTGTATTTGAAAGCAGAGAGAGAGAGAGAGTTAGTTTTCCCGTGTGTTGGTCACTCCCAAATGTCCAGGCCGAAGCCAGGAGCCCGGAACTCCCCTGGTCTCCGTGTGGATGCGGGGGCCCAAGCGCTTGGGCCGTCCTCCGTCGTCCGCTGCCTTCCCAGGCCGTCAGCAGGGTGCTGGGCTGGACTGGCACTCGGCACTTGGCACTCTGCGGTGTCTGGCTAGAAAAGGAAGAGCCAGAGAGCGAGTGAGCAAGCGGGTCCTTCGTCCCCTTTCCTGTCCCGTCCAGGCCCCACAGGCCAGCCCCTGGGGAGGCACCAGGGGCGAGGGTCTCCCAACTGCCCAGGTATGCCCGGATCCACGCAGGTCCTCATGCTGCCGCGAGGGGGTGGGCAGGTAACTGGGGGAGGGGACCCACGCGGGCTCTGGATGCTTGAGGGACAGGCGTCAGAGCAGAGCCTACAGGGAAGGGAGGGAACAAGGCCACCTGGGGCGCATGGGGTGGGGGGAGAGTGAGGGCCACTGGGACGCTTGGTGGGGGGGCCAGGGCCATCAGAGCAGATGGGGGGAGCCAGGGCTACCGGGGCGCGTGTGGCCCCTCACAGAAGTCACTGCAGGCGCACAGAGGTCATTAACCAGCACCACCTCGTGGGCAGATGGGGGCAGTGCCCAGGGCACGGTGCCATCCTGGACGTGGTACTCAGGTGGCACACAGGCTGTGGCTCTGGGCAGGCCGCAGCGGGAGCCGGGCAGGGGGTCCAGGCCCAGCCCCAGGCAGCACCCCCACTGGGCAGAGAGGAGCCAGGGAGGGCACCCGGGAGGCTGGGGATGTGGGACCCTGCAGCCACACGGCCAGTGAGGCAGGCGCGGCCGTCACACAGCTCAGCGCGTGGCCCTGCTGGCGCCGGTCTCCGCGAGACGTCATGCACGGCCACCTGCAGCCGTTTCCAGGCCAGCTGCCGCTGGGCCTCTGCAGGGCCTCCTGCGCCCGCCCACCCTGCCTGCTGCACTCCCACGTGTCCCGGCTTCCTCCCCGCGGGGCGGGGGGCGGGGGGGGGGGGGCGCCACACAACCTGGCTGCCTGGCTGCTGAGCTGGGAGCCCCTGCCGCCCCACCCCCGCCCCGCCCCGCCTGCCGCTGACAGCCCAGACTCCCAGAGGGCTCTGAGCAGGAAGGCACAGGCAGAGGGCGGGCCCTGACCCCAGCAGTGGGACCAGTGTGCCCGGGCTTGTGGCTCCCAGGTGAGCCCAGGGTGTGCCCTCCCGGGTCCAGCGTCGCTGCTGCCCTGGCTGGAGACTGGGAGGCGTTGGGGCCAGGTCCCTGCCTCCCGCGTGGCCAGCAGCATCTGTGGGACCCCGTGCTGGCTTCTTGCCTGTGCACAGAGGCACAAGCTTGGGGGCAGCACCTGCCTGGGCACCGTGGGACCAGGAGGCCATCCAGACCCTGGGGGTCTCAGGCAGGTCTCCTGCTTGGGGGGCAGTGTTGGGACCAGATGGCCCCTTGGTCGCCCTGGGTCAGTGAGATGGCGGGGGTGGGGCATGAGTGTCTGTGGATGGCACAGGGGAGGCCTAGGGCCCTGCGTACCATGCTCAGGGGATTCAGGAGCCTGGAGGCAGGTGCACTCAGGGTGTGGAGGGGGTGACCCATATCCCACAGCTGGGCAGACAAGCCCACAGAGCAGCAGGTGCTGCGCCCATGAGCAGCCACACCAGAGACAGCGCTCTGTCCACCTGCAGGCGGTCCAGGAGGGTGGGGCATCCCCGAGGCTCTGGGGGCTGAGGGTCTGGCTCCCCTCCAGGGGTGGGCCAGGGGCTCCCTGAGCCAATGGGGAGAGATCCTGCAGCGCGGCCAGCCCAGACGTTAGCCGAGGGCCTTAGGGGAGGAAGGGCTCTCTGCAGAGCCACAGCTGGAGCTGCGTGCGCACTGCCCTGGGTCATCCGTGCCAGGCTGGACACAGCAGTTTTCACGTCCTCCCCTGTCCTGGTAGACAAAGCCCCATGGGAACGCTCGGGTGGGGTTGGAGGGCAGAGGAGGCACAGGTGGTGTGGCTGGGCACTGTGGGAGTCCAGGCCTCAGCCCGCAGCGCTGTCCCGTGATCCCTGCTGCGGGAATGGCAGGAGGAGGCGAGATCGGGTTGGTCCCAGGTGGGCCTGCTGGGTTCACAGCCCTGCCGCAGGCTTCCAGGTCACTGCTGGGGCAGACACGGATTTGGGGTGCACTCGAATTTCAGGAAGCCTCTGCCTGCAGAGGAGGCGCAGCACGCGGAGGTGGCCTTGGGCATGGGGTCCTTCCCCTCCGCTCTGCAGCTGGGGACCTGGGGCTTGTGGCCCCTCAGCTTCTGCGCGTCCAGGGCGCTGCAGGCAGCAGCCGCCCAGCACCACAAGGGGGAGAGAAACCCGTGCTGCTTCCGCGGCTTGTGGACAGGACGGGGCCAGGCTGAGCCAGGAGCCTGGGGCTCCAGCCTGGTCTCCCACGGGAGCAGCAGGGGCCCGACTACTGGGGCCATGGGCATCAGCAGGGGTCAAACCGGAAGCAGAGCGGCCGCGACCTGAACCAGCGCTGGACGCCTTGATCTGCTGTGCCAACCTGCCAGCGGCTGCTGTCCGCAGTCCTCCTGCGGCTGACTCAACCTGGGCTATCCATGCTCCGGCGCTGGCACCAGGGGCAGGCTGGGCATGGAGAGCGCCACCACGCCTGCACTGCACACTCAGGGCGGGCCCTGGGGCCTGCGGCACCAGAGCTGCAGGCTGTGTGGGCAGGGCGGTGCTGAGACCCTCGCTGCCACACGTGCATCCACACCAGCCCAACAGGAGCCTGGGCCGGCAGGAGGGACGCCCCCAAGGCCCCTGAGCCCCCTGCCCCTTGGTCCTCTGCCCGCTGCCAGGGGCAGTGACCCTGTGCTCACCACAGCCCTGGGATCAGGGTGCTGCGTCTGCATCTTGGGGACCCAGCGGGCCAGGAGTGGGGAGGGGGGAGGCCTCCCAGCTGCTCTGGCCGCCACACCACGCCCACCTGCCCTGACCCAGATTAGCGCGTGGGCCCTGGCACCCGCTCCCTAGGGATCCAACCCTGAGCCCGGGAGGAGCTGCCGTCTGCGAGCTTCGGCTTCCCGGTCAGCACACGCCCCACACCCGCACTTCCCTGCGTAGGTGCCAAGCGCCCAGCACATGCAGACCCCACTAGCTGTGCCTTCCCCAGGCCGCCGTGGGAAAGAGGTGCCGCGCCCGGCCCGGCTCTCTGATTGGCTGGCGGCTCTTGACCAGCTCCGCGATTGGCCGGTGGTGTCAGCCCCGCCTTCGCCGAGGGCACAAAAGCCGCAGCGCTCAGGGCCAGAAGTAGCCGGGTGTGCCTGTTGGCCCTGCAAAGCTCGCACCCTCCCTGGTGACAACCATGTGCCGCACCCTGAGCGCGTTCCCCGCCTCCTGCCTGGAGAGGTGAGGGGGCCTGTGGGGCCACGGGAGGTGGGGGCGGGCCAGCTCTCCGGCCTGTGGGCTTTGGACTGAGGTAGGGCGGAGGCCGCCGGCCGTGCACACAAAGGGAGCCTTCTCCGAGGCCCGAGAACCCGGATCCCTGGCAGTGCGGAGCAGGAGGCGGCAGGGGGCGCTGCTGCAGACTGGAGGGCCGGCGCTGCGAGCCCCGGTGTTGGCCGAGCGCATGGGGAGCCCCTGCGAGCTCTGGGTTTATCTTGCAGAGCCAAAGAGTTCAAGGCGCGCCTGGGCGACTTCCTTCAGGGACCGGAGCTGAGCCCCCCTGCGGGCAGCGACCCCAGGAAGCCCAGCAGAGAGAGGTAGGGGCTGCAGGACCGGCTGCGGGGGTGGGGGTGGGAGGCTGCAGGGCCCCAAGCCCCTGGCGGTGACTGCAGCCAGGGCACGTGGGCCTGGCAGTGGCTCAGCCTCCAGGGCGCCTGTGCACCTGGCCGGGGAGCCCTCCCCTCCTGGGTGTCGGCTGTGCCAGGCGCTGGGCTCTGGGCATGTGGGAGTCAGGGAGCGGCGGCCTGGACACAGGACGGAGGCTGGAACTGCCCGTGGGACGGACCCCTGCGTGTGGGACTGCCGCCTGCCGCCGAGCGCCTTGTCCTGAGTGCTGGGGTTTGTGTGGGCTTGGCCGTGCCCTTGTTTTCCTGAAAATGTGACACGGTGGCTGTTTGCAGCGGGAAGCCCTCGGAAGACACGCTGGGCTGGAGGGAGTCGTTCGACCTGCTGCTGGGCAGTAGAAGTGAGTGGGGCCACGGCCCCGGGCGCCCGGCGCTGACCCCCGGGGAACACAAAGGCAGGGCCGGGGGGTGGGGGGTGACGTCCTAAGAATGGAGCCTCTGCCTGCAGCTGCTGTCTTTCCCGCTGACCCTCCCCCTCCTCCCCTAACCCCAGAGGGAGTGGCCGCCTTCCGCGCCTTCCTCAAGACGGAGTTCAGTGAGGAGAACCTGGAGTTCTGGCTGGCCTGCGAGGACTTCAAGAAGACACGGTCGGCGGCCAAGCTGGCCTCCAGGGCCCGCAGGATCTTCGAGGAGTTCATTTGCACAGAGGCCCCGCGAGAGGTCAGCGCCCCGCAGGGCCCCTGCTCCCTCCCCACTGAGAGCCAGGCTCAGAGGCGAAGGCCAGGCTCTGAGCCAGCCCTGGGTGCTGTGCCCACGGCCAGCCTCTGTGCACCCCTAGGACACCTGCTTGGGGGCTCCACCCACCGCCCGGGGAGTTGGCCAGCTGTTGTCCCACGCCTTCCCTGGCCCCAGGTCAGCCGTCCCTCCGTGGGTTTGACAAAGTCCGTGGCGCCACCTGGTGGACAGACATGGTGACCCTTGGCTCTGCATCTGCGTTTCGTGTCTGAGCACCTCTGGTCCGGGGCTCCAGTTACACCCAGGACACCGCAGTGGTCACAGGGCCACAGCGAGAGGCCCTCCCTGCACAGTGATGCCCGGAGCCGTTGAACAGATGCCCACGGGACTGACCTGGCTCCTCCGGGGGGAGTGTCCAGCGGCCTGTCCTGGAGGAGGCCGGCCTCTCCCCTCGTGAGGGATCAGGAGCGGCTGTCAGACACGGCAACTGCGAGGGGCAGGCACGGAGGCCAGAGTGCCGCGGGCCGAGAGCAGGGGGGGAGGGTGGGCAGGTGGGTGGGGGCGGTGGGCAGCGGACAGGGGACAGGTGGGCGGTGGGCAGGGGGCAGGTGGCAGTGGGCTGGTAGACAGGTGGTTGGTGGACAGGTGGGCAAGTGACAGATGGACAGGTGACAGGTGGGCGGGTGGCAGTGGGCAGGTGACAGGTGGCACCGTGGCTGTCCCTCTGGGTCACAGGGAGGGCAGCAGCGGTGCCCTCAGCCTGGTTGGGTCCTGGCAGGCTGGGGGGGAGCATGGCAGCACCGGGGGCTTGTCCAGGGCTGCGCAGGCAGGGGACAGAGCGGGCTTCTCCCTCCCGACGTCCTGTGTGCACCTGTGAATTGAGAGCAGGGACGCCCCTGGAGCGGGGCCGGGCCCTGGGCTGAGAAGCGGCTGGCAAGGACCCAGGAGCCTGTCCTGTCCCCCCGCTCACCGTGCCTGCCCTGACCCAGGTGAACCTTGACCATGAGACGCGGGAGCTGACCAAGAGGAACCTGGAGGGCGCCACGGCCGCCTGTTTCGATGTGGCGCAGGGCAAGGCGCGGACACTGATGGAGAAAGACTCCTACCCGCGCTTCCTGCAGTCGCCCGCCTACCGGGACCTGGCCACCGGAGCCCCGCCCCGGCCTTCACACACCTGAGCCCGGGCAGCCCCCTCCCCGGGCTGCCCTCTCCCCCGCGCGGGTTCTGCAAAGCAGTGTGCAGCCATGGCAAAGGTCGGAGAGGTCACGGCTACTGGAGCCCCCTCCTCCGATACACGGACCCCACCCCGTGCACAGAGCCCCGGGCATGAAGGAGGCTGTGGGCGGGGCTCTGGGGGAGCGGCTGGGAAACACAGGGTGCCCTGGGCTGCCCAGTCCTCGCCCAGTGCAGGGAAGGGGCCCTGCAGGCGGCACGCCCTCACCTGCCCTCACCGGCCTGTGGCCACCCAGGGCCTCTGCTTGGACCGCGTGTCCAGCCCCACAGGCTCCTCCAGGCCAGCGAGCAGTGTGGCCCTGACCCAGGCTGAGGACCTGACGGCCCAGAGCTCGGCCTGTGAGCCCACGGGACGGTGGTCAGCTGCTCTCGGTGGTCTCTGCGGGTGGCCCTGGGCTGTGGTGCAGCGGGGCCCTTCCCCGTGAGTGGGGCTCCCGAGGACCCCGTGGGAGCCCGTGGAAGCAGCCAGCCCTACCCACAGGCCGGCAGGGGAGTGGGGGGAGGGGCGTCCCTGGATGTCCCGGAACCCAGCACAGGGAGGAAGAGGTGCGGGTGTTGGGGAGCCGAGGGCAGGCCCGCGGCCACCTGGGATGGGACGCAGATGCTGGGACGCAGTGGCACCTCGGCCTCCCCAAGCTGATCCCTGCCCAGGAGCCCAGGCCTGGGAGCCCCTTGGTGCCCCCGGAAGTAGCCCTGTGAGTGCAGCTCGGTGCCGGCTTTGTGCCGGCGCTCAGTGTCTGTGTTGGTGGCAGCGTCTCCGTGGTCATGGGCGCTGGGCACCCGTGTTGGTGGCAGCGCTTCTTGGCCATGGCCTCTGCCTCTGTCCGCTGGAGAACCTCGCAGGGTGCGGCTGACCCCCCGTCCCTGCCTGTGCCTCTGAGCGCGAGGGGACTCGGAGCTGGCCAGCTCTCTGCTCACTGGCTGGCCCCAGCCGGAGCTGGTTGCCGTGGTGGGAGTGCTGTGGACACCCCGGTTTCCGTGCTTCTGTGTGCGTGTTCCTGTCACACAAACAATAAAATCCATTGTGCAGCGCGTGGGTGTGGCGCCGTGGGCAGAATGGAGCGGAGGGCTTGGGTCCCAGCAAGGCCGCAGGACTGTGACTTGGTTCACGTGGGCTGGGCTGCTGTGTGCAGGCTCGGACTCGGCCTGTGTGACATCACGTCCATGTTGCTCTCTGCCCACCGGGCGGGGAGCCAGCGCTGGGGGGGGGTGGCAGGTGTCAACTCCCCACCCCCGCCCCACCCATGCTGCCAGCCCCTCTCCTCCGTCTCTGGTGCCTGCCACCTACACACGTGTCCCTGTGTTGAAACAGCTGCCGGCACGAGCTGGGCACATGCGGAGCTCTGCTGCCCCTGCCGTTAGCCTGCATGGACCCCAGCACCACACCCTAAGCCTGGACAGGGGGTTCTGCGTGGGACCCTGGACAGAAGGCGGCTCACGGGAGGGGCAGGACCCTCTCCCATTCCCGCCACCTCCTACTGGGTACCTACTGAGCGCATGCCCTGTGCCCACCCAAAGCTGAAGCCAGCGTCTGCGCCACCAGTCACGGTGGCCTCAGTTCATGGCTGGGGAGCCCGGGCCCAGCTCTGCTTCCTGGAGGCGGCGGCGCCCCCAGGACGCACAAGGCTCTCGGACGCGGCTCCTGCCCCCAGCGCATACTGGGCGCCCTGAAGGTGGGCTTCACGGGCACGTGGCAGGTGGGGAGAATGGACCACTGACCAGTCCAGCATGAGTTGTTTCGGGGGGAGGGGTCTCAGTGACTCACCCAGGCCCACGCAGCCACAGCCTGCAGCCGGGGTCTCAGGACCAGGGCTCTGCCCCCGCCCCACCCAGGGCCACTCTCCCCCACTCCCTCCCCCGCCCTTCAAACACCTGCCATGGCGTCCCAGGTCCAGGTCTCCCAGGGGAGCCTGCCCAGGGAACCCGACCCCAGCGTGGTCTCTACCGCAGGCCCTGCTCGGCTCCCAGCAGCAGCTCCGTGGAGCACATGCTGCCTCCCTTTGTCCCTGCAGAGCCGGGGCTGGGCCCCGTGAGGTGCACTGCCGATGGCTTCCGCTGCCGATCCCACGCGGCTTGAAATGTCTCAGAATTTGTGGCAGAGTTTGGTCGAGTTGTGTCCATTAAGAGTGTGAATATTAAAACGAACGATGCCCAGGCTGGCCTGTGCGGTCTACACCCGGGACAGGGCCAGGGACTCACAGGAGGCTCGCCCAATGCTGATTGCACACCGGAGCCCTAGGGAGCTGAGTCCTTTCCCATCCTCTGCTGCCCCCCTGTGGCCAGCCTTGGCCACGCAGTCTTGGCTTTGGTGCTGTCTGAATTCTTTCTTTGGGATATCTCCCCACGGCTGCGCAGCATCGCGTGGAAGCCAGAATCGTGGCAGCTGCTGGCACAGCCGTGGGGCCAGGAGCTGCTGGTCCCGCACCCCTCGTCCCTTCTCTGGATTCGCTGAAGTATCCGTTTCCACTCGGTTTATTCGGAAAGTTTCTGGCCTTCAAATACAGGTGCTCTTGTCAGGTGGGAAGTCAGATATGAGCTTACGTGCGTGTGACAGGCCTAAAGAGAAGACGTCTATGTCCAGCATAAGCATCTGCATCTCAGAGTCATCCTGACAGTGTTTCAGAGGCAGCCGGGTATTCGCATCCTGCCCTGCCCCCTTCTACCTGATAACCTGCCAGGTGGAGGTCCCCACCCCTTCTGCCTGACAAATCTCCCACAATCTCCCAGGTGCAGCCCAGTATCTGCATCTCAAACACCCTGCTCCGGATGGATCCCGGTTCTCTAGGGGGTCCTGCTCACCCTTCCTCTGAACCCAGGACGGCACCAGCTAGGCTTCCTCCTGTCTGATACCTTCAAGGGAAAACTCAGATAGGAGCTTCTTAATATTTACAGCTGTAAAATCCTTTGTTTCAGGAGGAAATGTGTGAAGACAAAGACCCATCCCCTTAAACCGCCCCCTCCCCGGCCTCAACCGGATGGCTGGCGCGCTCAGCCCTCGGCCTCTCTGCTGAGCCGCCCGCCTGCCTGGCTGGGTGTAATCTCTCCACTCAACCGTGTAACCTCGCTCCTTCCCCTGTCCGAGCGACCGCACTCTCTCTCAGGTCCTGTCTGGAGGTGCCCATCTGTTCCTGTGGATGTCCCTTCCCTAATAAACCTTGTTACTTTACTTTCCACTACTCTGTCTTACGCCTGAATTCTTCCTTGGGAGAAGACAAGAACCCTCCATTTCTGCGGTCACACTCGCAGGTGCAGAGGGGAGGCGCCCGGGTGAGTCTGTGTCCCCGAGCCCTCTGTGTGGCACTCCCCAGCCGGCTCTGGGCAGGGGGAGAGCACGACAGACGCTGAGCCCTGCGGCTTCTGCAGGGCCCGGCAGGGGGCTCCCTCCTGGAGGGTGAGTGCGTCTTCTGCAGCCCGCAGGGAGGCCGTGGTCTCGCCCGCTCCAGTGCCTCCACCCGGCAGGGCTCAGGGTGCTCGGTGGCAGGTGCTCTGCTGTGGCGGCTGCCCGTGTGGGACAGGCCCCGGCAAGGACGTCACAGCCCCCACGGAGCTCCCGGGGGGGGGGCTGCCATCCACACCCCAGCCACAGCCCTGGAACCCAGGGCCCGGGAGGGCCAGCGAGTCGCCCAGGTGCAAGGCCAGCAGGGAGCCCTCTCAGCTGGCCACACCGCTGGCCACGGAGCTGCCCAGGCCGCCGCTGCGCTCCGCAGGACCCCCCCTCTTCTCACTGCTGCTGGATGCAGCCCACCTGTCCTTGAGCCCAGATCAACCCCTGCGGTCTCCGCACAGCTCACCTGGCCTTGAGTCTCTCTGTCCCCTGCCCAGGACTCCCGCCCACTCCTGGTCCCGTGTGTGGACGCGTCCCCAGTAGAGGAGCAGGCCTGGCCCCATGTGTGGAGGTGTCCTGGGGAGGGCAGCAGGCCTGGCCCCTGTGTGCATGGGCCCAGGGAGGGCAGCAGGCCTGGCCCCGTGTGTGTGGACGCGTCCCCAGGTAGAGGAACAGGCCTGGCCCCGTGTGTGTGGACGCGTCCCCAGGTAGAGGAACAGGCCTGGCCCCGTGTGTGTGGACACGTCCCCAGGTAGAGGAGCAGGCCTGGCCCCGTGTGTGTGGACGCGTCCCCAGTAGAGGAGCAGGCCTGGCCCCGTGTGTGTGGACACGTCCCCAGTAGAGGAGCAGGCCTGGCCCCTGTGTGCAAGGGCCCAGGCTGGGCAGCAAGCCTGGCCCCTGTGTGCATGGGCCCAGGGAGGGCAGCAGGCCTGGCCCCTGTGTGCATGGGCCCAGGCTGGGCAGCAGGCCTGGCCCCTGTGTGCATGGGCCCAGGCTGGGCAGCAGGCCTGGCCCCTGTGTGCATGGGCCCAGGGAGGGCAGCAGGCCTGGCCCCTGTGTGCATGGGCCCAGGGAGGGCAGCAGGCCTGGCCCCTGTGTGCAAGGGCCCAGGCTGGGCAGCAGGCCTGGCCCCTGTGTGCAAGGGCCCAGGCTGGGCAGCAGGCCTGGCCCCTGTGTGCATGGGCCCAGGGAGGGCAGCAGGCCTGGCCCCTGTGTGCATGGGCCCAGGGAGGGCAGCAGGGCCTGGCCCCTGTGTGCATGGGCCCAGGGAGGGCAGCAGGCCTGGCCCCTGTGTGCATGGGCCCAGGGAGGGCAGCAGGCCTGGCCCCTGTGTGCATGGGCCCAGGGAGGGCAGCAGGCCTGACCCCTGTGTGCAAGGGCCCAGGGAGGGCAGCAGGCCTGGCCCCTGTGTGCATGGGCCCAGGGAGGGCAGCAGGCCTGGCCCCTGTGTGCATGGGCCCAGGGAGGGCAGCAGGCCTGGCCCCTGTGTGCATGGGCCCAGGGAGGGCAGCAGGCCTGGCCCCTGTGTGCATGGGCCCAGGGAGGGCAGCAGGCCTGGCCCCTGTGTGCATGGGCCCAGGCTGGGCAGCAGGCCTGGCCCCTGTGTGCATGGGCCCAGGCTGGGCAGCAGGCCTGGCCCCTGTGTGCATGGGCCCAGGCTGGGCAGCAGGCCTGGCCCCTGTGTGCATGGGCCCAGGGAGGGCAGCAGGCCTGGCCCCTGTGTGCATGGGCCCAGGGAGGGCAGCAGGCCTGGCCCCTGTGTGCATGGGCCCAGGGAGGGCAGCAGGCCTGGCCCCTGTGTGCATGGGCCCAGGCTGGGCAGCAGGCCTGGCCCCTGTGTGCAAGGGCCCAGGCTGGGCAGCAGGCCTGGCCCCTGTGTGCATGGGCCCAGGGAGGGCAGCAGGCCTGGCCCCTGTGTGCATGGGCCCAGGGAGGGCAGCAGGCCTGGCCCCTGTGTGCATGGGCCCAGGGAGGGCAGCAGGCCTGGCCCCTGTGTGCAAGGGCCCAGGCTGGGCAGCAGGCCTGGCCCCTGTGTGCAAGGGCCCAGGCTGGGCAGCAGGCCTGGCCCCTGTGTGCATGGGCCCAGGGAGGGCAGCAGGGCCTGGCCCCTGTGTGCATGGGCCCAGGGAGGGCAGCAGGCCTGGCCCCTGTGTGCATGGGCCCAGGCTGGGCAGCAGGCCTGGCCCCTGTGTGCATGGGCCCAGGGAGGGCAGCAGGCCTGGCCCCTGTGTGCATGGGCCCAGGGAGGGCAGCAGGCCTGGCCCCTGTGTGCATGGGCTCAGGCTGGGCAGCAGGCCTGGCCCCTGTGTGCATGGGCCCAGGCTGGGCAGCAGGCCTGGCCCCTGTGTGCATGGGCCCAGGGAGGGCAGCAGGCCTGGCCCCTGTGTGCATGGGCCCAGGGAGGGCAGCAGGCCTGGCCCCTGTGTGCATGGGCCCAGGGAGGGCAGCAGGCCTGGCCCCTGTGTGCATGGGCCCAGGGAGGGCAGCAGGCCTGGCCCCTGTGTGCATGGGCCCAGGGAGGGCAGCAGGCCTGGCCCCTGTGTGCATGGGCCCAGGGAGGGCAGCAGGCCTGGCCCCTGTGTGCATGGGCCCAGGGAGGGCAGCAGGCCTGGCCCCTGTGTGCATGGGCCCAGGGAGGGCAGCAGGCCTGGCCCCTGTGTGCATGGGCCCAGGGAGGGCAGCAGGCCTGGCCTTTGCTCTGTGCTGA